GCATAAAATTTGCGATGATTATGCAGTAAGATATGATATGTCTTCTGGCTTATTTATCCATAAATGTAAATATTTATATGTTTCAGTTCCTCCAGTAGCATGCAACCTTGTTAATTATTGGTCTTAGATTTTAGAGAGTACCAACAGCTAAATTAATGTCTATTATTGGACAAAAAGTAACTATTATTTACCACCACCCCCCCTTTGCTACTCTATGATTGTCAAGGTAGACATGAAAGGGGCTATGTTGGACTGAGGGTCATCTTTCATAGCCAAAGAATTAATCACCCAGTGGCCAACATACTGGTGGTCAGCCTCTCCCTATTTCACTAGGCTTATCTTCAGAGTGACAGAGTATGTTTCAAAGCTTTTCCAGCTTATAGAATTGGCCAAAGCTTACCCTCTCTGATGTGGCCTTCAGGAACCTAGGGTCACTTCCATGCCATGATGAAACATTAGAATGAGACTTTTGTGAAGGATTTATATTCACAGGGAATAAGAATTACTATGCCCAAATAATTAATATTAATAAGACAGACATTTAACATTACTATACATCATTATTATAATAGACCCAATATAAAATATAATTTTCAAACTCATTTAATTTGCTAAACTCTCTCCCCATTCTCTTTTCTTGGGCTTATGTTTCAGCAAAGTCAACCTCTGATGATCCATGTTACAGATTATCTATTTCATATATGTTCCATAAATTCTAAGATACTCTAGGATCCAAGATACTCCTGGATCATTTTTTTTTGCTCTATCAACCAATGTTTGCTCATTAAATGCAAACTACTTTCAATACTGGGCAAAAAAATGAAATATACTATAAAATATAATCAGATAAATGCCAAAGTAAATAGATTTTTTTAAAGGTTTTTTTTTTTCATTTTACGACTTTCTCCTCCTTACCACAGATTGACAAATAATCGTTATACTTTCTTTCAAGTTAGAAGTTGAATACCTGGAAGTAGAGAAGAAAATCTTTGAATTTGGAGGATGTATGAACCAAGTGGATGGGATAGTTGAAAGTACATTACACATGGTAGATATTTTATTGAACTGAAGTAAAAATGACTATGGGATAAAAGATTTAATATTAGAAGTATATGCACTTATTTATCTGTGAATAGTCACATACTCATCATATGTGCTACTATGCCCTGCACCTTTTTTTTTTTTTGCCTATTTGTCTCAACGCCATTGTGGATTACTGACTTTTACAGTGCTTTTAACTTCTTTAACAATACAACCAATACTATACCATGAGTAAAGAAGTAATTGTGGTGGTAATATAGATGATAAAGGAGACCTTTTTTTTTTTTTACTTGCATTTCTATAATTTTTAACATACAAAACCAGAAAATGTTGTGGGATCCTATTAAAAATGAAGGGGAACAATAAAGTTCTTTTTTTTCTTTTTCAGGGTTATCTGGTCTTTCCATTCCTGTTTAAGTGGTTATATAGCATACAATCTTAATGGAAACATGACAAGACTTGAGGTTATTGTATCCAGATGCTGTAATATAGTAGTTATTTCTGAAAATCTAAAGAAATTCAAGCCTAACAAAAAACATCTTTATATGGTGATAAAGAATGGTTTCTTTAAGATGTTCATGGTCAGAGAATATGTTAAGTATGTGATTCAAATATCTGGGTGGGCAAAGCAAGTGGAAATATAGGATCTAAGGAGTCACTAAGAAATGTGCTTCTGAAAATATTTTCAGTCCAAAGTGTGTTCAGTGTGAACTTGTGGTCTAACATGGACAGAGTACGGGAATGTGGTCTGTTGGATTGTAATGAATTTGTGGGTTTTCTTGGGCAGTAAGTACATTTGAAATTCTATGCCCTAAGTTTAATGCAACTCTGTGCTCCAGCAGTACTTATTTACATAGTTCATACTACATTAACTTAAACTTGTTTATATTTTTATAAGCATTTTTCAGCCTGATTCTCCAATTTCAGTCCTATAGGGTTTGAAAACATTCCCTCAGAATGCCATTATGGCTGAGAAGGAGAAGGTGATGAATTTTTGAACTTGGTCTAATCACCAGAGGCCTTTCCTACATGGGCTCATATCACCTTGTTTAAACAACTTCATTATATTGCTCCCATGTGTTTGCCTTATTCCCTTACAGTCTAGACTGTAAGTTTCTTAAGGGTAGGGACCATATGCTCTACAGGTTTGTTCTGGTAAAATAAAAATCCATGTAATCCATTTTCTGATAAGACAGAAAAATTATTGAGTGCTGATTCCTATTACCTAAGGATCATTTTTTACTTTGCAAAAAAGGTTCATTGAAATAGTGTATTCTCTAGTGCAGTGAATATAGGATCTCCTCTGGACATGAGACTTCACCAGTTGAGGAAACACTGTCCATGCAGCTTGGAAACTAGTCTGTAACATGTAGTGTTAGAGAGCTGACTGTATCAGTGAGTACTTAGGGTCACACATGCAGTGTTTGCCAGAGGCAATTAAAGGCTTATATATTTCTGATTCCAAGTCCAACCTGCTTTCCATTATGTGCTACACTATCTCTCAAAACATGATTATGCTTGCCCCTTGTCCCTAAATGAGTTATTTTTAACATTTAAGTGAAATACATATAGGCAATCCATGCTTCTTTTCACTTTCAGTATTATCACTCTCTTCATTCAACATTGCCTAAATAATACTTAGAATTCAATTTTTACTGCCTTTATCCTCATTTGTACTCATTTCCAAAAAAGGGCTTCATGCAACTAGAGAACAGATTAAGAAATATCTCTTCCAGCTAGAGTTTATACAAAGTCCCAAGGTTCACAGGCATACAGTTAATTTATGAATATTTGCACTAGAACCAAAGTGAGGGAATATGACTATCCTTCCTGCCCTCCATTTTCAAGAGGTCCTTTGTAGTTTCCTTTTTAAGGATTCTATGGTAAGAAAGGGGAGGTAGATTTGTAGAGAATCAGTTATTTTTTTTAGTCCAACTCCTTCATTTTACAGATGAAGATACTGAGGCCCAGAGACATGAACTGTCCAAGATCAGGAAGCAAGTAACAGAGTGGAATTTGATCCTAGATCTTTTGACTCCATCCAGCCCTCTTTCTAGGATACCACGGTGCCTCACTAAGGAAAGAGCACATAGTATCCCTTCATACTAGGTGATAATGCCTCTTCATCTCCACAGACCACAGAATTGCACTAATTCTCTGTTCTTGTACCCTCCTTTCCCTTCCTCTCATCTCATCCAAATCCTATATAACCTCCAAGGTTCAGCTCCAGCCTCATCCCCATGAAGCCTTGTCCAAAAATTTTGCCTTCAACTGTGTGATCCAATGTAAGTCACCTCACTTTGCTGGGCTTCCTCACTTGTAAAAATTTGGGTGGAATTCTTAATCTGTAATATATATAAACTTGCTTTCTGAAAAATATTTTAATATCTGTATTTCAATATAACTGCTTCCCTTGTAATCCTATGTGTTTTATTTCATGCATTTAAAAGCATTATTCTGAGGAGGGTTCAGGACACAAAAAAGGTGAAGAATCCTTCTCTGGCCTAGGTGATCGCTAGACTCCCTCCTAGCTCTAATATTCCAGGATTTCCTATGATCTACGATTTATTCTAGTTTACAGAGATTTCCTACTTCACTGAATTCTCAATACACTTATAGTTAGGACAACACATTCAGCACTCAGTTGTTCTCTGGTTGTTTTGTTTTGACGTACACCTCTTTAAGACTGATGCCATATTTTACACTTCTTGATTTCTCACAGTACCTAGCATAGTTCTAGACATACAACAGAGGCTCAATAAATATGGTTTTGCTTTTAGTTTTTAGTGGGTGGCTGCTGTGATTGAATGAAGTATAGCAGGGCTCATATATCATGCCTATAAACCTTTTTTTTTTCATAGCACTGAATGTTACAATGGAATTTCAGCATGAATTTGTAATGAACAACTTGAATCAATGCCACAGGTTTCTAAATTTTTGTTTTTTGAGAGAGAAATTGATACAGTGGGGTAAGACAACTATCACTTTGTGAAAGCTCAAATCTAGGTATGCATATATGAGGTATCATAGAGGGCTCAAAAGTTGCTACATTCTAAGTTCAACACATTGAAAACAATAGATACTTTAACATGATACACTAAAGAGTGAAATTAAAAATCATTCATTTAACCATGGAGTAGAATATGATACAAAGTCATAATAATACTACACAAAGCATCAGTCAGACTATCATGAAAGTCTGTCGAAATAACAGGGGGAAAAGGGTCTTAATTGATTCACAGATGTAAAATAGTGAAACTTGGTCCATGACTCGAGTACTCCATTTCAATCCAATCCAATTTAGAACAAGTGGGCAGTGATTGGGAATTTAGAACAGAAGTCTCAATGGCCTCTGAATAATAGCACAATATAGCTTTCTGTCCCAAAGCTGAAATCCATATACTGTATTATACAATTAAGATTTCATTTCAGTCATTACAAATGTCAACCACAGATACTGTATTTGTATACATTTCAAAAGGCCCAAGTATACATACCCATACATGGAATTTCTTTGAGAAGAAATGAGGGGAGGGAGAAAATGGCCCATATGTCTTAGGGCAATTCTCTTTGCACTAAGGCTGCACAATTTGTATGGAGATCACTAGTAAGGATGAAGATAACTTTCCTTAGTATGGTTTAACCTGGTGACTCCTCCTGCTATGCATTCAAGTGAAAAGAAATCAGATTAGCAGATAATACACACTTTACATGAAATTCTGACTTGACAACCACAAATCTAACTTAGCCCAGTGCTAATGGGAAAACTGTTTTAGGCATCAAAGGAAATAAAATAAGGGAGCTAATCCACTATTATTGCATTTTCTTGCAGTCAAATCTCTGAGGTTATGGTTTATTATTCCTTCAAAATTACAAGTAGTACCACTAAGAAAGTGAGGGAAAACAAGGGAGAGTTTTTAGGGGTTAGGAAGAAAGTTCTTAAAAAGCTTCCTCCTTACCTTGACTGGCATGGATGTAAATTGCATCTCCGGACTTGGGGTTCTGGGCGACTCACATGCTGACAGTCACTGTCATTCACCAGAGTCATTGTCTTATTAATAATTTTGGTGCAAGACACAATGGTTTTGCGTTCCCCTAAAAAAGTCAATATAAATCATAAAGTTAAATTAATTGGTTAGGTCAGGACAATGTGGAAAATCCATTAATACTTAGAGAAGAATGTTCAAATTTAATTTTTATTTTTTCCACTTAAGAGTTATTGAAATTTCATTTTTAGTTTTTAATTAAACTGAACTTAATTATTTAATTTTTAAAAATATCCTAGGGTACATAATATATGACTATAAAGTAATGAAGCCAAAATTTATGTGGCATGTTAATTTGTAAAAATGCCTTGAATAATTGCTACTGGCAATCAGGATACCTGTGTTCCTTTCTTGGTTGTTTTACTAACTTGGCATTTGCCCTCCTTGCTGTTATATATTTTCTGTGAAGTAGAGAGTATGGCACTTCCTTATATAACAATGTACTACAAGTTTCCCCAATTATCTTTTGTATCACGCCCAGACAAACTGGAGAACTATTCAGCCAATCATAACTGAACCATGAAAAATGGTCAAAAGGGCAAGAACAGATACTTCCTCATTTAACATTACCACTACATACATAAAAGCTGATGATGAAAACTCAAAATATGCATTTTAAGTGTTTTAAATGATGATCAGAGAATCACAGATCTTCTTCTTAAAAGCTCTCATTCTATAGACAAGAAAAGTCAGGTCAATGATTTGCCCCAAACCACAAAACATGTCAGTAATAGAGATAAAACTGAAATCCTGACTTCCTCACTTGGTCCTTTGTACCATGCTTTATGAGGGATAAATTGTGAAGACTGCGCGCACATACACACACAATCATTAGCTTAAGGGAAGATCACGTATATTAATAGTTCAATTTTTCCTATTCCATACCAGCTTCTAAAAGGCAAACCCATTGGTCATACAGGCCCAAGTCCAAATATAGCTATTCTGGGCAATAACCTGAGAAACCTGGGACTGGGAAGAAAGGTCACCTAGTTGGGTGCTGTCCATCTCCCAGGAAAACAACACATCAGGAGCTACAACAAGGGTTACAGAGGTAGTCCTAGGCATCAGTTTAGAGTTGATACCTCTATGGCACAGCCATAAATTTCTTTTCCAGAGGATACTCTTTTTGTTCAGGGAGCTATTTGAGTGTGAGAACTATGAGCACTCTTTGATGTTGGAAGTCAGGGTAGGGAGGATTACTGCCTAATTGATCCCCTTTCCGTCTTTAGTGGAGCTGCCCCTTCAGTGGCAAGCAAAGATTTGACTGGGATGACCTGGACCCTAAGTCACAGATTTGAAATTGATTGGGTAGGAAGAAGCATAATAAGAGCCAGCTCTTGTGATTGTTGCAGGAGAGGAGGATGATGTGCGGGAGAAGGAGAGAAAATATCACTCAAGTGTTTCTTCCTCTCCTCTGAGTGAGAGCCAGCCTTAAAACACAAATGGGATTGTTGCGTATTTTGATTAAATGGTATCCAGAAGGTTCCCTTACTTAAAAAAAAAAATCTCCTTCACAATGTGGAATTCTGTCAATTTGAGTTATGTTAATAATAACAATAATAAGAGTTATCATTTATATAGTGCTTTAAGGTTTACAAAGAGCTTTACAGTATCTCATTTGATCCTTACAATAACCCTGGGAGGTAGGTGCTAATTCCCCCATTTTGTAGATGAAGAAACTGATGCAATCAGAGGTTAAATGACTTGCTTTGTGATCTTGTCACAAACCTATTAAGTATCTGAGGCTGCATTTGAACTCAGGTCTTCATGATTTCAGGTTCAGCACTCTATTCAGTGAACCACCTAGCTACCATTTGGAAGCCACTCCTCCTGGGAGGGTGAAGGGGAAGCAGGGCTATCAGTTATTCATACCTATGGTAAATTGGATCCATTGGAATGCTTTTTGAATAGTGTTATCCTACTCTGCTTGGAGTAGTAAGTTGCTGGGGTAGGAAAGAAGTGAGCCAATTTCTGTAGTACCAGGACACGAGTCTCCCAACTGATTCTTTGCCATTTCCCCCACTGTGCCTGCCAGAAATACCACCAATCAGAGATTTTTGCTGGTTAAAAAGGAAATATTTTTGGAAGAGTGAAGTGGAGATATCATCACAAATTCCAACTCTTACTATCTGTCACCTTAGGCAAATCACTTAGCCTCTTGGTGTTTGGTGTAAAATGGGTTGGAATAAAAAATTGCAATAGTTCAGATTTACATCTGAAGGCTTATAAAGTGTTTTCCTCAAAACCAAAGTGAAATATTATTTTCCCCATTTTAAAGGTGGAGAAACAGAGAGATTAAGTGCTTCAATGATTTATAAGATCTTTTCAATTCTAAATTCTATGATCTATCTATTAATTAGTTCAATTATGCTGCTAAGCTAATATCTCACTGAGATCAAATTTAGTGAGGAAAAATAGGAGTTTTAATGGGAGGAGGGAAAAGTACTGAGAGATTATTTTAGTGTACAGGGCACTGAGGGGATTTGTGATGTTGTGGTGAGAAACTTTGGCTACTCAGAGGAGAATTGAAGACACCGGGAACCTGAAGGGGAGGAGAAAGAAGGCTGTAGGAGGCAAGAAACAAGAGGAGAAGTTGGAGGAGAACCAAAGACAAATCTCTTCTATTTTGTAATTTTGCTGCTGGTTAGTCCTTCTTACTCTTTTCTGCCCCATTTTTGGATGGGAAAAGGTTCCTTTCCTCTTTAACCTTTCCTGTGGCCCATTCTTACTGGACTTCCCCCGTACTCCCTTCATTGTCCTACCATGACTGGAGGGTACAGGCTAAGGCAGAAAAAGATCCCTTAGCAGGAGATTGAAAGATGATTAGAATTACAATAGAAAGATTGGGGAAAGTATCATTTGGTTGGGAAAAAAAGAGTTCAGTTTTGTCTAGCTAAGGGAAAGCTTTTTCTTAGAAATATTATATACAATAAAAAAGAATTGATAATGAACTAATTTTCTCATGGTAAAGGAAAAAGGTTATAAATGGGAGATCAGGAGCAGGTGAGTCCTTGTATCTTCTGACTGAAAGGGTACAGCAAAATCTAGGCCATCTATTTCAAATAGAAGCCTTCATTTCATGTACAGGGCCAGAGGCAATTTCTTTTAAATATAGCAGCACACTTAGTATTGACCACTGGCAAAATTGAAGAATAAATTTCTTTTCTGTCCTCCCAAATGACCTTTTGATACCGTCTTTCTTATTGCTTTTAGTGCCCAAATGCCTAACTTCAGACTAATCTCTCAGTGCCTAAGGTACCTTGCTGTGCTGTGTCACCCTACCTTCTGAGGGAATGCCCTATTCACCCTTGAAAAAAAATCATGTCTTATACCCATTCCATCAGATCCCTGAGGAGCTCTCAGTCTGATGAACTGAGTTGTTATTGGGTGAAGCAATATAGTAGAGGATCCTGGACAACTCATTTTACTTAGCTGGATCTCAGTTTACTCCTCTGTAAAACTTGAGGGTTCTATCAGATAACCTCTAGGGTCTGTTCAAGCTCTAAACTGCATAATTCTATTATCTCTCTCAGATAATAATGGCACTTTAATAGCTTCTTTGATGTCCTAAGATAAAGAGCTTTCTTTCCCCTTTCCCCAGAATGGCTAAGGACAAATTTCAGGTATCATGACCAAAATTGTAGAGGTATTTGTGGTGAGGAAAGCTTTCAGGCACCCTCAAGTAACATCACATAGGTGGCTTGAGAACTGTCATACAAGACTAACCCTATGTACAACCATGACAGGTCAATCCAGAAAGTCAATTACATTTCAAGAACTGTCTATAAAGGTCTACAGCCACTGGCAACAAATTAAAATTGGGTGGTGATGACCTGATGAAGTATTCCTGTTTGAATATCTGCCAAACGATCTTCAAGTAGTGATTTTCAGACTTGCTTCTGATCATTTTTATAGTCAGTGAAAAACAATTCAATTTCCATGGCAATATAGGTTTCCATAGCATAGCCCTCCCCACAGCATTTGTGCTCTGGTAGCTTTATTCATTGTACTCCCTGTTTTTCCCCACCTGCCCTTTGCAAAACACAAAGCCAAACAATCATAGTGAATTTCCCAGTGGCTCACCTCCACCGCACTGCACACTGCATCCTTCCCAACCGCTATGAGTCCAGATGTATAAAGAATCCTGTAGCTTTTCGGGTTCGCTCTGAATTTCTGCAGTATAATTTACAGGAATGGTGTATTCATAATGAATCCCATAATTTTGGTCATGAAACAGTAACACCTAGATCATCAGCAAAAGAAAAGGCCATTGTGATGTATACTCAGTCCACAGGCTGCTTAATGTATAAACCATGCAACACCATTTTTGATTCTCCAACTAGTAATTCTTTCATGGACTAAATAAGAGGAAAATTCCAGAATTCCTCAGCAAGAATACTCCTACATTTGGTAGCAAAAGCAGATCTACTAGCGGCCTGGGATAGCAAGACAACTTTTAACTTCTCCACTGCTCAGCTGAAGCCACTCCAGTCTTTTTTCTTGGCATCTGCACACTTATTAAGGTACTTAATCACCATCATGGATTTCCATTACTTTCAACTGGAAAGAGTGGTATATATTAATAGGATTGTTCAGCTAAGACTCTCTTTCAGCCTTAATTACCTACTAATGGCTAGTTGGCCAAACCTGAGTTAAGTAATTGCCCATATTCACCTGTGAAACAGACTTTACAGACTGAAAGAAAATGCAACTTTGATTTTTAACTGTGCAGGTATTGCTGAACTTGGAATTTTTTACTTCTTATAAAATCAGAATTTCCATGTAAAGAATTTCTATATAATTTCTATAGTGTCATATAACCCACTATCCTACTCTAGTATTGTCCTAAAGAGTACTTTGGATCTTATGTAGCACTTTGCTTGGACCTTCCTGAAGCACTTAAATTTTATATTGTCTTGTTTTGGTATGTGTCTTCAAGTGGCATATTCTCTTACATCTAAATAAACTTCATGAAGGTAGGGTTATGTCTTAATGCAATTTTCTATCTCTTCCCAATGACTTAACATAGTGTCTTTCACAAGTATATGCTTAGTAAACATTTATTGAATTTGTTGATGTCTACTATACTTATGTTAGTGGAGGGTGGTCAAAATACTATACAAAAAATCACAGTAAAACCCTGGAACAAATTGGCTTGGGTAAATAATGATAAAACAAGCCTTATAGATCTTCACTATTAGATTGGGAAAGGTGTGCTGTATACCTCTCCTCTGTACTCTATAATCCAGGGATGTCATTTTACCATTGGAACATATGGGGTGTTTTAGATGGACTCATATTTAGGTAGTAGCTTCATCCTCATTTTCTTACTGAAGGACTCACATGAACATTTTGATGGGGAGTTTGAATCTACTACTGATATGTTTCCCAGAGTAATCAACATGAAAGAGTTTGCTCATTCTCTTCAATAAAGTAATGAAACAGGTGTCTGACCTGTTTATATCTGACATACCTTTGTATAAAATAGCATCTATTGTGAAAAGCATAAAACAACTTGGCTAGGAAGGGGATGTTTTTATTCCAAGTTTGGAAGGGATGTTCAGTTTTCTAGGACCAGGCGGTTATTAATCTCACTGTAAAGCTGGGAGGTCTATGACTACATGCCCAACATTAGGTAACAGCAGAGACTGCTAAGGCCCACCCTGATATTATTTAAGTCAGTCAAGGTATTAGCAACATGTGGTATTAGACAAAGGAATCCAACAGGTCCAAGGTATCACCCAACCTGGGAAGTGCTTGGCTTGTTCTAGATTGCCAAGGTGAAGTCTAGAGCAAACCTAACTAAATAAACATCCATTTATCCAAGAAATATACTTATATTAATGCAGTTGGAGAAATGCCTCCAGCATTTAAAAACTACTCCTTAAAAGAGATCTTTATTATCTCAGTGTGAGCATTAGACCAGTGGATCAAAAGTCCATATGAAACCAATTTCATGCAATTTTGTAGCCACATATAATTTTTTGTGTGTATATAATTCGTTTCAAATGCAGGTCACCATGTCTTCCCAGATGCTTCTGGCTCTCTTAGTACAGGGTACTCCCCTGTTGTTTGGAAAACAGTTTTCTATTTTGGGGGAGTTACCATCCCCTTCACTCTTATATTTGAACATTTAAAACAACTTTAGAACTTTAGAATTGTAAGGGAAAGGCTTTTGTGGTAAAATACAAGCACTATTCTTCATATATACTGAGGACATATTTATTGAACTATACTGGTACAAGTTAGCCATAAGGACATACCCACTATAAGGATCATAAAATACCAGTACACTGAGAAAGATGGATCCCTTACCTGGGCAGGGATGGGGAAGGATGGGGGAGGGAGAGGGATCTTAAAAAAAGAAAAGGATTATCATTTATTGTGGATAATCTATGTTGTCTTAACTGTGGAGAATCAGATAATTTTTTGAAATTACCTCAAATTTCACTATACCAGTATTTCCATTTAAAAATAAGAAAAAACACTAACTTTTAGGGGCAGCATGAGTTGCTCAAGAGCACTAGGGAGAGGAGAGCAATTTGGAACTATGCCCAAAGGGCTATAAAATTGTGCATACCCTTTGACCCAGCAATACCACTTCTAGGGCTGTATCTCAAAGAGATCATAAAAATGGGCAAAGGACCCACATGTACAAAAATGTTTATAGCAACTCTTTCTGTGGTGGTAAAGAATTGGAAATTGAGGGGATGCTGATCAATTGGGGAATGGCTGAACAAGTTGTGTTATATGAATGTAATGGAATACTATTGTGCTATAAGAAATGATGAGGAGGTGGACTTCAGAAAAACCTGGAAAGACTTATGTGAACTGATACTGAGTGAAATTGAATAGCAAGAATCTATACTCATGATAATATAACATAAGAATGCATAATTTAAAGTACATTCTCTTTATTAGTCCAATTCTCACTAGCTGCTACATTGATAATTACTGCTAAATGGGAAGTTCCCTTTAAAGGTGATGGGAATACTTTTAAAGAGAAGAAACACACTTGGCTTTAGAAAGGAAGGAGAATCCTATGCCCTATATTTTGTTGTCTTGTATAGAAGAAATGAAAGGCAATTGCAAAATTTAGCTGAGTGTCTAATACCACTTCCTTACCCTTGTAAAACATCAAGGAAAGTCTTTTTCTTCCACGTCACTAGGAATGGAATACACTGTTAAGACATCACTACCCCTCTCCCCATCCCCAATGGGCCACATTACTTTTGAGAAATGTAAAAAGATATGAAATTACCATCAGGTGCAGTGGCATTTTAGTTGGTCCCTTGGCAGATATTTTCTCCCACAGACCCCTTCGGACATAGCGGACAGTGGTGCCTGCGATCTGAAATTCACCAGGAAGCTCAATCTTCCAGTCACTGTTTATGGATTTCTTACTGGAGTCTTTGAGAGCTAGAAAGAGGATTAAACACCGCCAAATCAAATTAAAATGATCATTCTTCCGTTAAAGTGGACGGAACTAAGAAGAATCTTTCTTCTCATAAGGGTACTCCATGAAATCTCTTCAAAGAGGAAAAACACATTGGTGCAAAATGAAAAGAAGACAGCTCTTCATCAGAAACATGATTATTGGTGAGGATAAGATTCAGGGTTAAAATAATTCAATCAGTCAATAAGAATTTACTAAGCACCTGCTACTTGCCAGGCACTATGCTAAGTAACTGGCATATATAAAAAGAGGCAAAAGGCAGTCTCTTCCCTTAAGGGGCTCACACTCTAACGGGAAAGACAACAAACAAACTAATAGATACAAACAAGTTGTATAAGGAATAAATAGTAAATAATTTAAAAAAGGGAAGGCATTAGAATTAAGAGGAGTTAAGAAAAGCTTCCTTTAGAAAATGAATTTTAGTGGAGACTTGAAAGAAATCAAGGAAGCCAGGAGGCAGAGATGAGGAGGGAGAACATTCCAGGCACGGGGGACAGCCAGAGAAAATGTCTGGAGCTGAGAGATGGAGTGTCTTGTTCCTGGAACAGCCGGGAGGCCGGTGTCCCTGCACTGAAGAGTACGCAGCAAAGAGTAAGGGGTTAGAAGACTGGGAAGTTTGGGTGGGATGGTTAGGGCAAATAGAGGATTTTGTATTTGATTCTGGAGCTGATAGAGAGCCACTGGTGTTTTATTGAGTAAGGATGAGGGTTGATGTGGTCAGACTTGTGCTTTTGGAAAATCACTTTGGGATCTGCATGGAGAATAGATTAGAATGGGGAGAGACCAGAGGCAGGCAGAATTCCCCCTGCCCCACCGGCTGGCTATTTCAACAGTTCAAGTGTGAGAGGATGATGACTGGACTAGGATGGTGGCAGTATCAGAAGGGAGAAGGGGACATATTCAAGAGATATTGCAAAAATGAAATCAATAGGCCTTGGCAATAAATTGGATATGGGGAGGGGAGATAAGAAAGAGTGAGGAGTGGAGGATAACACCTAGGTTGTGAGTCTGATGGCCTGAGAGGATGGTACCAGAACAGTAACAGGAAAGTTTGGAGGCAAGGAGGTGTTAAGGGGAAAGATAACGAGTTCAATTTTGCACATGCGTAGTCTTTAGTATCTAGAGAATGGACATGCATAATCTTTGGGGAAAAAACTGTATTGGTTGCTCTACCATGAACGGGATTTCTTTCTTCCAAATCCCAAGTTAAGGTTTCTTCAGTTTCAGAAAATGAAATACCCTAATCACATTCTCATGAATTTAATGGCATTATTTTGGTAGGAGAGGCAGCTAGGTGGCTCAGTGGTATGGCCTGGATCAGAAAAAACCTAGTTCAAATCCAGCCTCAGACACTTAGTTGTATGACCCTGGACAAGTCATTTAACCTCTATTTGCCTCAATCTACTGGAGAGGGAAATGGCAAACCACTCCAGTATCTTTGCCAAGAAAACTCCATTGACAGTATTGGCATGCCACGGTACTCAGGGTCACAAAGAGTGGGACACAACTGAATAACTAAACAACAATAATAGATACAATGCCACTCTACCTGGCTATACAAACAACAGAATATTTAATTTTTCTAAGTGTCATATGTTAAGAAAATACTTTGTTTCTCTAGCCAGGATATTTTAATATTTGAACTCATGTACCTGGAGCTTTTCAGTATTACTGCCTTAACTCAAGTATCTTTTAAGGCATTTGGGTTATCTAATATTTGAAACATAAATGTTCCTTCAAGACACAATTGTTGTTCCATTAAAACTGATTTATACTTTCGTATTTGTAGTTACTTTCCTAGAGCTTTTCAGTATTACTTCCCCAACTCAAGTATCTCTTAAGGCATTGAAGTTATCTAGCATTTGAAAAATAAGTGTTCCTTCAAGAAACAATTGTTGCTCCATTAAAAGTGATTTTGAAACCCAAGCACTAGACATGTGGAAGTAACTCTCAACAGATGTCTGAACTGATGCTCCATAGATGTTTTCTGTGGGTAGCACTACAAGTGTCCTGGATGTGTCCCTGACACATATTTAACTTTTTTGTTCTTGTAGTTTACATGTTTGCTCTATCACACCTCAAGATAGAATTAAAATATATAATAATACAACAGCATTAAAGCATGATTGGCCACAAGGAATAAATTCTGTTTCCAATATAAGTCCTATAATTTATTTTTTGAATTGTTCAGCCAATGTTTCCATTTTGTCTTTAAACTTAAGGGGAAAACTATGTGTTCCCTTCTATGCTCTGAAAAGTTAAATAAAAACTATAAATCCAGATGTCAACTAACTGGAACCATTTGTTTATCAGTATTGGGACATACTTAGCTTTTAGGAAAAAGAAGCAAATGACAAGAAAACAAGTCATTGGGTAATTTTAGAGAGTTCAAATCGCAATTTTCAGGATCTATTTTGTACTTAGTACACATTCAGCTTACTTCCTACACTTTCTTAATCTGTATCTTCAGTATTCTAATGATGATACTGAGGGACAATAAACTCTTCAATCATCAAAGATTATTAAATTATGTTCAGAGGTTTACACTTAAAGTGGCAAAGTAGATTCATGCATCATAGGAAGTTTTTCAACATAAAAGGAGAAAACCAAAAAGGTTTTCTGTTAACTCTTCCTTGAGTAATGAATGGGCTTAACCAAGGTTTAACAAATCATTTAGCAATTTCATTTGCCTAATAAAAACCCAATGGAAGTTTCTTATTGCTATAAAACAGATTCCTTGTTTAGTACTTCAGAATAGTTAGATGGGACTCCACTCATGATTACTGGGACTCTGGGTCTTTGCTGGAGGGGTTCAACCTCAGCCACATTCCAGCAAGCTGGAATAATGTCACCAACAGGTATGGTGATGAACTGTATGTCTTTTGTCTGAGGAAAATAGAAGGTCATCATCAAAGGACTGGACACCAGGTGATTTGTTGTTGGTTTTATTATTTTTTTTAACTACAGTTACTCATGAGAACATACTACTAAGGCATAGAGCCTTTATGATCTACATTGGTAGAATGAGTGCCCAAACAAGGAAATCAGAGATCCCTGAAGTATTAAGAATTGAAATCCAACTTCATGTTATTAGAAACAAAACTCTTAGGAGCTATGGTTATCCAAGACATTTTAAGTGCTTTGCAGACTTTCATAAAAGCTGGTGAACCACAGATTTGGAAAAGATCTCAGAGATTATCTAGGTCCTCACTTGATGAATGAATTCCTTCTATGTCTTACCAAAGCAGGTCATCAGCGAGGCACTGCATGAACCCCAGCGAAGAGGACTCAGAAAGGAGGTACATTCCATTTTGTATAGTCCTAATTATAAGGAAACCACTCTACACTGAGCCAAAATCTGCTTTTGTAATTTTTCAGGCATTGGTCCTAATTCTGCCCTTTGGAGCCATATTCTACCTTTTCTCATCTTCAAACTAATCAACCTCAATTGTTCCTTCTCATTTGTTTCTTATATGCTACACTTCCCCCTCCCTTCCTCTCTTTCCTTCTTCTCTTCCTTCCTCTATTCCTTCTTTCTTCCTATGCTGGTCATCCTCCTCTGGAGACAGTTCAGTTTGTCAAGAACTCTCAAAATATGGCACCTAGAATTGAACATAATTATCCAAATTTGCAGTCTAATTTTCACACAATACAGTAGGATTATAATCTTCCCTGCTCTGGTGACTATACTTCTATTAATGTAACTTAAGACTACACTACTTTTTAACAACCATAACACACTGTTGACTCATTGAACTCATAGTCAAATGAAGAAACTCTTCATGAATGATTGTTTTACCATATATTCCCTGTCATAGAATGGGGGTTGGATGGAGGAAGGGAAATCCAGGAAATAGAATTAGTGGTGGATACATTCCCTAAATTCATAGATAATTTCATATCTCTTAGTTATCAAAATGCTTGCCCTCAATGAGGTATTGTCATGGACAGGAAATTCACTAGATCTAGAATATTTTGCAAGTAGAAGTTGAAGAAATTGTAATTTGTTTCTTACCTTGGACTGTCTAAAGTTAGAGTTTTAAATCCAAATTTGTTTGCATGAAGTATGTAACAAAGTAATAATTAAGGGTCCTACTGAATTCTGAAAGTAAAGCTTGGATCACAATGGAGTTTTTAAAGTTTGAGGCCTAATGTATCTGTGTCTCATCTCCAATAGGACACATAAGCATGCAATGCAGAAAACTCTTAGAACAACACCATGTGGCTAGCAGGATGGAAATAAAGGCAGCAACAAAGGTGTTGAAAACTAATATTTAGAAGCTCTGGTATTTGGAATTTTATCCATTTCCTTCTTGAAAAGTATACGATATGTGTAAAGCTCCCCAGCTACTGAAAGGCATGATGTTGGGATATCAACAAGTACTATGTGACTTGATCTACGGGGCATGGGACATGGGCTCTTCATCAGTGGGTGCCCTCACATTTCATTTTCTAATTCTCAGATTCTCTGGATTATAGTGTAGGTTTTTGTTATTATATGTTTTTGTGATGAATGTAAAGGTGTCAAAATGTGAAGCTTGTTCTCACAGTAACCAAATTCTCAGCCACAATCTCCACAGGTTCTCATGTTCCATGTACATGTATCAAAACTGCTCTATTAATATAAACCTTGGGTAGACTGGTTGTGAGAGGTGTTGGATTTCCTTATTCCAAGGATAGCTTGTCTTTTGATCTGTTTTCCAGCTTAAAAGCTTGTTTTCTTAGCCTACAAAATTTCATCATTGTATCTTACTCATCTGCAGTTAGTATTTTAAAGTATACTTTCAAATTATGAAAACTACCAATCTCATTAATCTTTTAGGCTCTCATTGGACAATATACTAATTCAATAAGTATTAAGTTATAGACTTCTTGATAGACATATTTTTAAACCATAATTTTATATTCAGCCTTTTGTACCAGCTCCTACATTTAGATAACCTTTGGTAGACTATATAAGTTT